GGGGGGGGGGTTGCCGTCTGCACGATTCAGACACCACAGCAACATACTGTGGACTTGGGGTTTGGAGGTGGGGGGGGGCATGGGCGATGCTTGGGGAACACCAGAATAACTTGTTGGATTCATACTTGTCTCCCATAAGCTGAAAGCTCTGTGTGCGTCTTTTTTTGCATTTTTATATCTAACAGAATGAGTACGGTGCCCCCCCAAGGCTGAGGTGGTACTGCATGTGTGAGAGACCCCAGACTTGTAGTATCTCAGATTTCCCCTCGCACGCCCCGGCCGCAGGTGGCTAAGCCCCAGCGCCCATGGCCCCCGGGGCCACCCTGCGGCTCCCCAGCCACCTCCCACACACACTTTTCCTGCTGCGGTCCTGTCGGGTTGGGTCAGGCCAGTTTGGCAGGGGGGGAGGGGGTGATGACCCCACTGAGCCGCCGGCAGGAAGCAACTTCTGTTTCTGCCGCAGGTTTTATTACGGAGCAATACGGCTCTTCCTCCTCTTTCTCCGCAGCGGCGCCTCCTCCAGGACGGACCTCCTGGTGTGCCTCTGAAGGGCCGCCGCGCCTCCTCGCCCCCTCTCAGGGCTCCTCTCGCCTTTGTTACGGTCTCTTCCGAGCAGAGCGCCCGTAAAGGTGATTTGTCATGAAGCTGGGGTCCGTCCCCATCCCCCTGTGCGTCCTGCGCTTCGGATGATTAAAGGCCTTTTATATCTGTTTGCTGAGTAAAGCAGGGTGTGCTCGTTTAATCGTCCTTCTGCGGGAGAGTCACTCCCGCGCGCATCTGAGCCCAGCCCTGAAAATGCGAATTAAAGGTTAGCTTACTGGTGTGTTGATTCCTAAGTGCCGTGGATTATGGCGCCGGCCGCTTCCTTGCACCTGAGGGAAATGTCGACTGTCACAGAGACGTCAGAGGAAACATCTCGAACGTCAGTGGGGGTCTCCAAGGCGTCAGCGGTGCAGGTCAAGGCCTCGCCGTGCGAGCTGATGACAAGACGTCCGGCTGCTTCACTGCTGCTCTTGGATTACCACCCGCGCCCCCCCCTGCTCAGGATGTCGTATGACTGGCAAGGCCAGGGTGGTGCTGATGTTTGGTTTTTTCAAAGTGGCCTGTGGGGGGGTGGATTTGCAATTGTGCTGTTAAAAACAAAGCTGACCCTGAGGCTCTGCCCCCCCCCCCACCTCCAAGGAGGTAGAGTGCTCTCTTGGATGGGAATAAAGATGAAAAAGCGGAATATCCCAGAGGTTTTCTTCCAAAGGTGAACACCGGACACCCCCCACCCCCAGCATCTGTACCCCCCACCCCCTCCACTGCCTGTTCGGCCTCAATGATGTGTCTCCCGGGTGAGACTCCTCTTTTACCATAATGCCAAGGGAGTCCTCTGGCTCACGTCTGCCTCATGTGTACAACCCTGCGAATCAGCGCTGTGTTTATGGATCCAACCTTAGATGCTGCTCTAAATGTAGGAATTAAAATGTTTCCCCTGCTCTGTCCTGGGGGGTTCATTTTCAGCAAAATAAATTCCCCCTCATCACGAGGAACCCTGAAGTGTTTACTTCACCATAAATCTGAACCGGCTCGTGACAATCGATTCCTCTTCTGGCCGTCTGGCTGGCTGGCCCGTGTAAAAATGTCACAAGCGGTAAGTTATGGACACTTTCACCTAGACTTGGTGGGGTAACTAGCAGTGACCCTGGGTGATGCCGTGTGACGGCGTGAGTAAATGAGAGATAATTAAATGTAACTCAAGCCGAGTGAGCGGAGGAAGAGGCGGTAATCTCAGCGCTGGTCTTCAGCGTTATTGAGGCTCTCTCTGTTTGGGTCTGTGAGTGTGTGTTTGTCCTCTGTCATTTTATCGCTGGACAAGCAGCAGGACTCTTCAGTCTCGCTGTGCAGTGCAGCCCAGCCACTCCTCATCTCTGGCCACAGTGGCTTTTTCATTACCCCTGGGGTAATGTGCTGTTTCATAGCCCGCTGGCCGTCACTCCCCCCACGATCACAGGAGACTGTGGCCCGCCTTTCCTGCCACCTAGCAGCGGGTGTGGCGGCGAATGGTGCCGTTAACGGTTTAAGAGCAGTTCTGTTCATGGGGGGGCAGTCAGGCCGACTGTTTACAGTTTGCGTAGGCTGTGGCCGGCTGTCCGAGACCCTGAGCAAAGAATGCCGCTTGACCATCTGTTTGATGTCCCCCAGACACCCAGACAGACAGACGGGGCCGTAAAACCACAGAGGAGGTGGGGGGGTTACCCAAAAAAAAAAAAAACACATCAAAGATCATTCCAGTTTCCTGGGAATCCTGTGAGATGCAGTTTGCCACCAGGGTTGCTGGTACCCCCCACCTACGCCATTAACGTCCACCATGTAGCTGGGTCGGTGGGTGGGCGGGGGGGCACACCCCCCCCACCCCCACGCTTTTGGAACGGACCCGTCGCCTTAGGACAAGATCTTTTTGCAGCCTGGTTATCGTCCTCTTAGAGAGTTTTGTCATTTACGAGCAAGGGGGGAGGGAAACAGGTTTCGGGGGGGGGGGGGGTCCAGACACTTCAGCGGCTTGCAGGTTGGTGACAGGGAGCCCCCTCGCACCTCGAGCGTGGACCGGGGGGCCTTAGGACCCAGCTGATGTCACGTGTGCCGGAGCTCCCGGATGACTTTCAGACGGCCACGTCACCCCGGGATTCCGCCCCAACTGTCCGCCGCCAGCTCCGGCTGTTCAGCCCCAAGCGTCTCCCGGCAACTTGTGCGCCTCGCAGAACCCTGCTTCTCATCGGTCTGCAAGAAAAATCCAATTTCCTCGACCTCTTCACTCATTATCTCCCGAGACATGATTTTATTTCATTCAACTTTTCAAATTCACGGGAAAAACCGGAGACCATTGTGAGGCAGGTTATTGTTTGAGACGCCTGGTGGTATCACACACTGCGAGGAATGTAAACAAAATTAATTCAGATTAACTTTAATGGTTTCTTCAAGTTTCCTTTTTGGGCTCTCTCCAAAAAGGATTAACTTAATGGTGGCGCTTTTATTTTTTTTTAACCCGCCCCCTACCTCAGCTGAAAGACCCATTTAGAATGTTTTACCCGACTTCAAACATCGTTGTAAAAAGTACAGCAAACTGGAATGAACCTCTTGGAACCTGGTGTTTGGTTACAAGAGATGCGAAAATGCTAAAGGAATTAAAGCTGAAATCTGAAACATTTACCAGGGCACAGCTTGGCATTTATTGCCGGCCTCCTTAGTCTGTCGTCTTAAGAGTCTTCTCAGACAAACAGGGCTCATGACTATTTGTGCTCTGAGGTGCAGGCCAGCTCTCTAACTGGGCGGGACTTCTCAGTGTAACCTTAAAAAAAACACATAGGGGTCCAGTTGTTCCACGAGTCTGTAATAATGGATAGTTCTACTCTTGTCAGTTGTTATGCTATTTTTTTTACAGTCTTATTTAAGAGCGCCATTTAAAAGAAGAAAAAAGGCACTATTAGTCTGTCAAGATTAGGATTTTATTTTGAACATTTAGCTGAAGGTTTTATTTTCTTGGCTGAAAGTTTTAGATGTATTTGGATCTCTCTAAGCCCTGTCTGTGGCACTTCACCCCAGATGCAGTGATTTTCTTGTTAAACTAAAAGCACATGTACTCAACACAGACCCTCCGTCAGGCCGGACTATATATCTTCAGTTATATAAAACAGGTGGTTCCTTTTTTTTCGGGTTTGGTTTGCCTGTCGGCTGTTTTTACCCGGAGTTTGAAATTTCTTCCACATGTATAGCTCTCTGACGCTGTAACGGGTCTATTATGTAATTAATGATTAGTTCAGCATATTCTCAGCAGCGGAGCACTCCTCTTTCCTGGGAGTGCGTTAATCAACGCAATTGTCCGTTAGCCAGTATCAGTGAAATGTGTGCTTTTAAGAAGGGTATTTGTTAGTCTGATTGGAGTTGCGGTGGATGGTTGAGGTGGATTCTGTTGCGCGAATGGAAGGTTCCTCTAAGCATGTAGCGTTGGTTGTTTCAGAGGCTGTGTTTTTGGAATCCGGGTCCATAGAGGAACTCAACATCTTCGCCGTCGCACGCGTCCTGCATGGTAGCCAAGGGATGGGGCGCAGGGGGGGAACAGTTTGTGGGGTTCATGCTCGTCATACGATTTGTAGTGCAACTCCGCTGCTTCCATTATTGCATAAATTCGAAACGTTCTACGGGTATCAATAATTGGCCCCTAGGTGATTCGATTCCATTATGATTATTAAGGAAACGATTCGTTGCATCAGATGTCTTTTTAATTTGTCTCAGTTCGACTATTTAGTTATTTTGATAACCTAAATTCAGATCTTTTAACTTCGCTAAAAGAAATTTCAGACGTTACCACAGGAACCACATTCCACAGTAAAAATGTAACGTAAAAAAAAGTAGAATCTCAGAAGGTTCTTCTTAATTATTAAACATTGAGAATCCACCAGTGAATAACTGTCAAAAGCCCAGAAACTGAACTATACGGGAAAAAAAATCAAACTCGTTAAACAAAGCGCTACCTGGTTGGAGGGGAGTTAGCAGCAAAATCTGCCGAACTTGTTGCCACATAATAACAGAATGACGTTCTTCGTTTTTTATTCTGTGGAAAAATGACACATCAATCCGAGGGCCAGATTTAATAATGAAATGAATGAAACACAGTGAATGAAGCATTATGGTGCTTTAGGTTAATGAACTATAATGAATTGTAAACGTTGCAGGTCAGTACTTTGAGACGTCTTCTAAGCCGTCAATGAGCTGAGGAAATTTCCTCGTCTGACATGGATCGTCCAATGCCATTATCTGCATTATTTGAGTAGTTGTGTCTTTAGTTCTGGTGATTTTTGAAGTTTTTTAATATCAGCCAGCATTACCAATATGTTGTACTTCTCTAAAGCTAACATTACTTTTTCCTTAGCTAGCTCATTAGCTACCACGTGGTCTTGAACATTACTACCTTAGCCAGCAGAAAGCATGTCTTTTTGTGCTACAAACGGGGGTCAGTTCCCTAAAAGGGTCGTAGCTCAACGCTCATCAGGTGTAACTTTATTTTACCCAGAAAAATCTGTTCTGATGTTACAGATCGATGCATTGAATCGCAACCTTAATAAATCGATTCATCACAATGCATGGAGGTATCTTTACACCACTGATTGTAACACTGTTTACATTTACATTGTTGATGTCATACTTTATTTTATGTGTAGATATGTAGCACTGTGGACCCGGAGGATGTTATTTCATGCCACTATATGCTGTGTTACTGTTCAGTGTAGGTGTGAAGTAAAGCCCCACTTGACTTGAGTTGCAAGACCAAAGTCGCGACAGATCGTCCTGAAATTAATCTCCACCTCCAGCGCTTAAGCAGGCAACATGGTTCACGTCGCTCTTCTGTGCCTGCTGGCCTTTCATTGGATGCTGGAGTTTTTTTTTTTTTAAAAACCCCCCCCCCCCCCCTTTACTGGCGCTGTCACGTTGGTCTTTGAAGGTCGTCGTTTAAGGCAGAGGGCAATTGGGCCAGGCAGAGAGGACCTTGAAGGCCAGTGGAGGAGGTGCATTTGAGAGCAGTAAATACCAGAACTCTGGGAGCCGGACCTGTAAAAGTGTCAGAATTGACTCCTTTTGGGGCAGATCTGCCCTTTAATCTCCCAAATTCGGCTGTCAGCATGCAACCACGATGTAACATCAGGGCGCCATAGGTCCAGAAATACCCGATGGAACTAACCGGGCACAGTCCTGGGAGACCATGTGGGGATGCGGGTTCTGTTTTCATTAACGCCATGCTTGGGCGGAGGAGGTGTTTAAATTGGATCTATAAATTGAGTCATTTAAGGTTTTTTGTGCAATCAGCTTTTGTTTTGTTTTTTTCGCTTGTTCGTTTGTTTTTGCTCGTTTGTTGGTTTTTGTTTTCCCTCACCTGCCGGGTATTCATCATTAGGCCTAGAACTCAGCTTCCCCGTTCCGCCTGAGGGTTTGACAGGATCGGTCCTCCAGTCTGCTGGCAACTCGCAAGCCCCTTCGTGTTAAACCGTTTCAGATGATGACATATGGCCAGCGTACTCCAGCGCGCCTGTAAATCCCAGGATTTAAGTCTCTTAATGAAGCCGTTGACCCACCTCGTCAGGCCTTATGGGGGCTGCAGCCGACCTCGGCTGAGCCTCGTATCAAACCCACGGCTGGGCCAAACGCACCGCCAACAGTCAGCCAAGTCGCCCGTCACCCACCAGACGCGGCTCCTATCAGTTACGGCACGGTTCTGAGAGGTCCACGTGCACTCTGATTTTGGGTAGGGTGGGGGACGGACCGCGCTTGGGATGGCATGGAATGAACGTGGGTCTGGACCCAGGAGGTCCTTGTAAATCAGCCTCAGTTAGCAGAAGACTGGAGTCTGATTTATGGGGAGGGGGGGGCAGCACTGTGGCAGCACTGTGGAGACTATCAAAGCGTCCTGCCTGGATGTGGGGCTGGGAGCAGCGACCCCCGCGGTTAATGATCCGGGAGATTTTCCTGTCTTCCGTGGGGAGTCTTTAAACAATATGCTTTCATTGTTTGCTCCTCGCCCCCATGAGGGTGATTTAGGCACCACGAGGTGCTTGATAAGTAACACCCCCCCCCCCCCTTCTCAAGGGCCATGTTCGACCTCATGGCTAGCTGACAGTGTTCCGGAGCTTGGCTCAAAGCATGCTATTCTGTAACAATTTTATAATTAAAACACAATTTATAGAATTCTGTGCAGGGTGTGACAGGGACAACGGGAGTGAGCACATTGGGCGACTGCGCAGACCTCAGATAAGAACCTATAATTGAAAACCCTTAATTTACAAAGTTGCCTCCCTAACTTGATTATGTAGAAGGTGCTGAGTGATGTGCAGGCGCTGGCCGCCCATCTAACCATGCCTCCCTCTCTCATCCCCCCCCCGTCCCTCTCCCCGGCCCAGTCGGAGCAGCCCAGTCCTGCCAGTTCCAGCTCGAGTTCCAGTGCAGGTTTTCCACCTGCCCACAAACGCCAAGGTAACGCCTGCCATGTTTGGGGGGGGGGACTTGCCCCTTGCTTATTCGGTGAAACATGGGTTAGTGTAACATACAGGCCATCCATTGAGAACAAACAGCCACGTAAATATACTGTTTCTCTATATACCCAGTTGTGTTTATATTTAAACATGATCCAGTATAACAGAGTCAGCTGACATTTTTTAAAGCCTGTTTCTTGCAGCCTAGATAGTATTTAAATTAGTGTGCTTTAAGTCAGCTAACTATCATAAATTATTATAGAAATTATAAACTATTAGAAGTGTCTTTCCACCTAATTACCATCAAATTATTAGCTATAAATACAAGGGGCATAAATCATTTGTGGCTTCAGTAATACCTGCACGATTCATGTAGCGCCAAACTCGTCGCTCTAGTCAGCATAAGAAAAGCACGATGTTGTCTAGGAGCCAATCGGAGAGTCAGGGGTGGGGGGGGAGCAACCGACACAAAGGCTGTAATTGTTGTTTTTGTTTTTGTCTCCTGGTACAGTGCCGGACTTCGTCTGCCGGAACGCTGTAGCTGGTCCCACCACGGCCCGGACAGGTAACGGACGCCGAAACTGATCTTTGCTCGCCCTGTTGACCGCTGTTCGTTTTCGCTTTCGGGCTTGCTGCTGAAGCGTGGCTGTGTTCGGGTTGGGCCTTCAGTTGCATTGCACCATGCGGATGACGACTCATTTTTTAAGTATTATTTAAAAAAAATAATAATAATAAAAGAAGAAAAACAAATGTGCCATCCCTTGCAGCTTTTGAAGATAAGTAGGTTTTCAGCTGCGTATTTATTCCTGAACCTGTTCGCAAAGCTTGCAGGTGTCACGCAGGTATTCACAGCTACAGGTGATTTTACTTTTATTTGTTGCCAAACATTTGGGAACTGAGCCTGTATCCAAGGTAACACAATCTTCGAGATTATTTCTTGCAGCTGACAAAAGCAAAATAACATTCCCCTAGACCAAGGTGTTTGTACAAGGTCAAATACACTCAATTTTCACACTAAAGTGTAAGGTCATTTAATTTTGTAACGATTTTTTTCATTGAATAACTCTTGGTTTTAAATGTACGGACTTCATTCATGGACAGTACTGCCCCCCTTGCGGTCAAGAATACCGGACCTGCATTCGGACGATGAGGACGAGTCTGCAGAAGAAGACTGCAACGACGGGGAGTCGGACCTGGAGCGGCCACTGCACACGCACCAGACGCACCGCCACCGCAGGTTGGTGTTGGCTCAGCGCCCCTGAAATCAAATATGGCTTTATTAGCTATTTGCACAAATACGAGGAATGCTTCTATACACATATCCCATCATGCTCTCCTTTCAGACACACACACATAGAGCATATACAGGTGAGGGTGGAGCTCGGGGTCTGTGCACAGGGTCAGACATTTATCAGATACCCCTGGAGTATTTCAGGGGGTTAAGGGCCTTGCTCATGGGCCCAATGGAGATGTGACTATTCTGCTGAGGGCTGGGATTTGAACTGGCAACCTTCTGATTTCCACCCTCCCCAGCGTGAAATGACTGCCGTTTTAAGACCCCTTTTCTTGTTCTGTGTTGTGAACATTTGATAGCCGCATAAGTGCTGCCAGAGTTAAATTCCTTAGCCAGAACCTTGGGGGGGGGCTCTTTGAACTCTTGTGTACTTGTGTACAAGTGGTAATGGACTTTAAGAAAAAAAATAAAACAAAGCCCCTCATTGAAATAAATTTTCCCCTCATATCGGTAACTCATCTTCGCCCAGGCCATCAGGGTCTCGGTTAAACAAAGCGTTACCACTGCAGTGCCTCTGAGAAGGAATGACTTAATGTAGTCCGTCAGATGGTGGCATCTCGCATTATGCGGCTCTCAAACCGGAGTGTGGACTCTTTGTCTGTCCTTTGATCTCCTGGGCTCAGAACTGTCAACACGAAGCTCTGCAGTCGTAGTGCGTTTCTGAAACTCTACATGTGGTGCTTTGAAGTTCGCGGAAGAATTTCATTTAATAAGCGGGCAGAGCCTGGCCATACGCTGACAAGTCAGTGACACCTTTAACCCTTTTGTTCACGCGGTTGCCCACCGCATCATGGGCTTCAACAACCGCTATCGAGCCATCACCTACCGGCACACCTGTTGTATATAACAAACAAGGGTTCAGTTGTTCAGTATGCTTTGTTTCATAAAAGGCATTATTCTGTTTAAATGTTGCGCCTGATTGGCTGGGACTGTGAACAACACTGCATTTGATTGGTGGGTTTCCTTTAGGGTGAGTTTGAGTGACGGCAGCGAGAGTGAGAGCAGCTCCGCCTCCTCACCGCTACCACACAACGATCCCCCGCCGTTGCTGAAGGCGAGCGGCAATCAGGTAAGACACCACCCTAATCCATACCTCTGCATCAGCCATGAGCAAACAGGTGGGTGTTTGTTCTCACCGCCACTAGTGCTATTGGAGCTGACAAGCACACAGAAGTGTAATCGCGAACGACAGCGTCCTACGTCATTGTTGATACACCTCAGCTGCGATGTGCAGACGTGCGCCGTGTGCGGTTCTGGGCGCCGTTTGGTGAATGCTTCCCAAATTTCTGTTCCATATAGCTCATGCGATTGCTGAGAATTGGTGGCAAAACCCTAACATTACCTTTTAACATAAGTTATGTTCTGCTTTGTCACTTATTTCTTAGATACTGGAAGTAAAAAGCCCAATAAAACCGCCAAAACCAGAGAAAAATATGAAAAATATAGATTGTGACAAGGTAAGCACTACCTTTTGGTTGAAGTTTGGTCTACTAAATCGTACTGATCCAAATGGTTTTCTTCTGTGACATTCCCCGTAGTATAGATTTAAAATTTCTTGAATGACCTTAACAACTAGTGGTAACTAGTGAAATTAACTATGAATCGATATAGGTTATTTGGCAACTTCTGGAATGAACAGGAGAGTAAAAAAAAACGTGCATTATTAGAGGGTGTGAATGTGACTGTATCATGTGACCCGATGGAGCCATCTGATTGGCTGAGCTTTGTGCCGCAGGCCTATTTGGATGAATTGGTGGAGCTGCACAGAAGACTTATGGCACTGAGAGAGAGACACATACTACAGCAGGTAAGAAGAAGCTCAGACTGTTGTAAGGATGTTCCTGGGGTGTGACGACTAGCTCTGAAAAACACACAAAATGTAGATGACATCAGGCTAATGAGTAACCATGCATACTGTCTCCTTAAAGGGGCAGTGCGCATGAACTATGCGGAAATTAATTATCCATTTGACATCTTGAGGACACTTAAATCATCGTCCCTAGTGCTGACTGTATTTAAAATGAACATTGTGCTTTCCAGCAGATTCCATCTTAAACACGTGGAGTTTAATTACAAACCTATCTTAAAATTTGGAGAGATTATACATCCTGGAAGTGTGGTATCTCAGTTGGGACCCACCACTATAGGGGCCACAATAGGGGCCTGGATACCCTGGCGGATTCAGGGGCCACAGTAGGGGCATGGATACCCTGGTAGATTCAGGGGGCCCAGCACTTTATAGGGGCCACAGTAGGGGCCTGGATACCCTGGCGGATTCAGGGGGCCCAGCACTTTATAGGGGCCACAAAAGGGGCATGGATACCCTGGCAGCTTCAGGGGCCCCAGCACTTTACAGGGGCCACAGTAGGGGCCTGGATACCCTGGCGGATTCAGGGGGCCCAGCACTTTATAGGGGCCACAAAAGGGGCATGGATACCCTGGCAGCTTCAGGGGCCCC